CAATGGACTGGTCATGAATTCTATGGAGGAAAAATTATGCAAAATATCCACCCATAAGGTTACTTACCATTATTTAGCCCAATATCTTTGATTTACCAAAAATGATCATTCGGCCCTAGTTTTTTCAAAAATAATGCCCTGCCTCTTCTTCTTCGTTTTCTTTTTCTTCTGCTGCTACGTACTTCCATCTTCTGTTGTTTCTGTTTTCTCCTTCTCCTTCTTCTTCTTTAAAATTCGACATACCGCAAACAAGAATCATTTATAGCGAATAAATTATCAAAAACTTAAAATATCGAAAGGATTTCATATCTAAATTTTGAGATTATCTAGAGGTGATTTTGAGTTGATCGAGATTGAATAGTCTGTGTATGCTTCATGTATAGTTAGTGTATACTTCATGTATAATTAAGTTATATTCTACTTTTTAATTGTATCATAATGTTTAGTCAGTGTATAGCTCATGTATAAATAAACTATATTATTTATTCGTGTATATTTTCTATGACTTTTGACAAACTATATTATATAGTCCATGTATATTTTTTTTATGACTTTTGACTATTTTTGAAACTAACCCTATCAATTATGGGCTAAATTTCAACCCAACCCAACTAAAGCCATTTATTGTTTGGTAGAGTGTATTAGAGAAAATAATACTTGCATTAGCTTGATGTATTAGTAGTACCTTGTTTGGTACATTTTTCTAACCTATGCATAACTAATGCTTGTATTAGTAATACACTCTATTGTGTATTGAAGAGTGTATTACTAATACCATCTATTTCTATGCATTAGTAATGCAATGAGTTCTAATGCATGCATTAACATTATTAAAGGCACAATTGCCCTCAAAAACTTTTTTTATATCATTTCCACTATATGTGTGGAGGGTACTTTTGTAAACAAATATTTTTTCTAAAAAAATTATGTAATGCATAATATTTTTAGTACACTAAACCAAACATTGCATAAAAATAATCTCATCATAACTATGCAAGCATAACTAATACAAGCATTATTCATACACTATATTTTGCATTATTCTTATACACTCTACCAAACGACCCCTTAATTTTTATTGGAGAAGATCACAATTAGCCATATGCATTGTACAAGTTTATATATCTAATATGCATTGTATTATTCAGTCATATATATTGAAATATACACATTATGCTCTAAATTATACAGTGCTTATATATACACTAAATACTGTGTATACACGATGTGTAAATGTTGTATAACGTGTATAAACACTAAATACCGTATGATTAATAAGCCGATAAACTTTCACTACTCATTCTTTTTTCTTCTTCTTCTTTTTAAATGTTGTATACGGTGTATATAGATTAATATATTTACTTAATTCCATCTTCAATTTTGATTTCATCCTTGTATTTATTCATTGCTTTTTCTTGTTTATGACTATTTTAATTTCAAGTTATTTTTCTGACTTAAATATTTTTTGTCTTGAAGCTAATTGATGCATGTACATTACACATAAAACGTAGAAGACATGGAACTTAAAATATGGAGTCTTTGTTCTGGTTTTTTGCTACTAGACACATCTAATTAATAGCCTACAAAATCACAATGATCATGTATTGGACTTAGGTTCACACAAACACAAATTAGTACTAGCTATAGTATATATAGAGCTTTGATGAGCTCTCAAGTAGAAAATTGAAATAAATTTTAGTAAAGTTGTCTCATTTACTCAAAAGAAAGTAACATTTGCAAAGCTTACCCTTTCCTTCTTTATATATAGCTTACACTTTATTTCTCTACTAATTTTTTTCTTTAATTGCTTTTGACAGGCTTTGAGTAAAGGAAATATAGAAAGAAAGAATGGGAATAATTAAGGTCAGCAAGTCAAAACTTTAATGGCAAACTGAGTGAGTCCTTCAAAAGGATAGAAAGTGAGTTCATTATATTAACACTGTAAAGCAGACTGAAAAGAAAAGGCAATACATTTACTGTCAAAAACAAAGAAAAATTACAGAGTTTTTTCTTTTTGTATGTGTTATGCTTTTCTTTTTGTATGTGTTATGCTTTTCTTTTTGGAAGTTTCTCGTCACCTTCTCTGCCCCAAAATTTGTTCAATCACTTTTACTTGCAATGCTATTCCTCTTTTATTGTCCTTTCTCTTTGTCTCTTCCTGCTCTACGTACACTGATTTTTCAGCTTTGCAAAGAATAAAAAAAGAGCTTTGCTTTTCTTTCTTGATAGTGTTACTGTTAAGATATATGCGTTCACTAACAGTCAATGGATCAGGTCTCTTGACACAGTAAAAACAGTAACTGAAACAAATGCAAAAAGTAAATGGCTGAAAGTAAAATCTGCACAACAATTTTACGTGAAACCCCTTTGCTCAAGGGCGGTGAAAGCCACGACCTGTCCTCACAGACTTTTCAACCCAAACTCCATTTCACTCAAACGGAGCAACGATTCAGATTACAAACTCTTGCAACCTAGGAATTTAACACTAAATCCCTTCCCCTCAATGTAGCACATCTACTACAAAGAAAGCAACTAAGCAATAACACTATTGCCCACTAAGCTACCTACCTCTTAGATAACTTAGACTTTGACTAAGCAACAACAATATTGCCCACTAAACCACCTAAACCTTAGATTATTTAGAATTCAACTAAGCAACAACAATGTTGCCCACTAAACCAATCAACCTAACTGATTTAGAATTTCTACAGAACGAACAAAGATCTATTTCCTTTATAACACATGAATAGATTTACAATGTAAGCACATAAGACACAAAGCTCAAAATACAACAAAGACTCTTCAGCATTGTATCAGGTCCTTTTGTTGAGCATGAGCAGTGTTCTTCCTTGAAGATGGCTTCTTCTTTTGAGCTTTTGGATTTTCTGAAATCCCAAAACCTTGTTTGCCAAAACTTGAGTTTTTGTTTTTGGAGAAGAGACTAATATCAAGATGGACACAAACCTTGGAGCAAGGCCATTGGCTGAAAGCCTGCTGTCATGAAAGGCTGGGCACCAACCACATCAGAGTTGGCAGCCTTTTGGCAACTGTCTTTTCGTCCTTTTCTCGTACGCAGACTTTCAGGGACCAGGTCCTTTGCTGCGTTCTTTGATGCTTGAGCTCTTGAAAAAGACTTGCTAGATTTCTCTCTTCTTGAATGAATAGTGTTGTTTGTTTATTATTGTGTATATATATTTGTTACCAACAAGAATTTTGACCACTTAAACAAACAACTTCGTCCGCCCTTCCTATTGGTGAAGTGCACAACACATCTCACCAACCAACCTAACAAGACAACTGTAAAGCTAACTTTACAGCTTTGCACCACTTTGAATCTGGACGGAAGTACTCTGTCAAGGACCAGGTCCCTGCATTTGTGAGGATCATCAAAACACTAGAATATAACAATTACAATCGGCCCGTTTTGGGGGTAAGAACTTGCTTGTATAGCCTGATGATTACACTAAGAGCTCGTTTAGATTGACTAATTCAGAATCTAAGTAAGGCGTCACGAAGAATTGCATAGGGAATGATTGTTCAGGATCAATAATAGAAGACATGAGCCCAACATCGAAAACAATGAATTGAGTGAGAAATGAACTTTAAACTTAATTCAACCTCAAAAGTTAGCTCAGGAGAAATAAGTGCCTTAGACGGAGACCAAAGATCTTCAAGCCCATCAATGTGGAACACCAGAACACCAATATGTTGTTCCAAATTTCAGTATATTATTATTATATAAGTACAACTTGTTTTTACATAATTGATCTAACATGTGCGTTCCCATTAGGTATTTGATCCCTACTTTGATTAGAATTAATACAAATTAGAGTCAAAATCTTTTTAATTTAGGAGGTGTATACTCTTCTATCAAAGACTATTAGGGTTGTTCATAGTTACGGTTATAAAATCAAAACGAACCGCAACTCGAACCAAACCGATTAAAAAAATTGATATTTGGTTGATTTGGTTAGGTTCGGTTTTAAATTTTGAAAAATCGATATTATTTGGTTTGGTTTTACTAAAAATTAACCGCAGAAATAACCAAACCAAACTGAGAAGTTATATATATAAATTTTATAATTATTTATAAATAAAATATAAGTATTTTGATAAATTATAATTAACTTAAGTCTTTAATTTACTATTTTCTGAAGTCAACACTTAAATTTTAGATCAACTATTAAAACCTTAAGTCTAAATCCCTTAATATTCATTACTTTAAAGATCACACTTTCTCTGTTCTTTATAAAATTTTCTAACGTTGCATTGAATAATTTAAAGCTCAAACTAAAGAAGATGGTAATTGATCAGTTTTGACTATGAAATAATGATTATTTTCTTTTTTTTAGAAGTAATTTCTCAATATTTTAAGGTGTAATTTTATTGAAAAGTCTATTGATAAGATGTTGAGATCTCAAGAATATTGAACCAACTTTATGCTATTGACAATGAGTTTTTTTAGTTTCTAAAACTTGGTACATTGGATGAAGCACTTTGTTCATGTAATAGCTTATTTGTGAATTATTCATGTATTAAGTGTTTGTCTATCGAGATGCGTATGTCCTCAACAAACTTATTACTTTCGAACTGAAAAAACCTAACCAAACCGACGATAACCAAACCAACGATTATTTTTTTAATTTGATTTGGTTTTAGAAATTTAAAAACCGATTTAAATTGGTTTGGTTTTTATTCTAACTAATAACCGATCCAAATCGAACCATGAACACCCCTAAAGACAATTATAGTACTAGAGTCTTAAACTTCTAATTTAGAACGAAAAGAAACTTACCGGTGCATGGTAACATTTGGTGGTATCGAGATTTATCACACGTCGATGACACAACGTCCTCTGTATATAAAGGGATGAAACCAACAAAGTTATTGCATTATTCCACAGTTTTCTCTTTCTCTCTCTTGACAAAGTAGAGAAGTTTACATCAACTCTTTGCATTTCCACATTGCTTTTCTTGGCTTCTGCATTCAAACTCTTCTGATAACATGAAAACCTTCAAGTTACTCAAATGTTGGCCCAATGCTGACCCCAATACGTCCACTGTTGCTGATACTGATACTGATAATGTTCCTTATTTTGATTCTGTTAAGAATTTAATATATGGAATCGATTACGTAACTAACCCCGATGAAGATTCCTTCTTCGATTTGGTGTTTACAGGGCCTGATGGACGCCCTAAAGTAGTCTGTAACTCTAAATCCGTTAAGCAGAGGAAGATGGGTGAATTTGATTCTCCAATTGACTCACACTCGAAACCTCATTCTCCGGTCAGCGTGCTCGGGTCGGGTATCAAGTTTCGTGTCTTCTTTTTCGGATTCAGGAAGGAGAAAGCGGGAATTGATGATTCTTCTATTCCAAATCCGAAGCAGTTAAACAAGACAAATTTACCCAGAGGCAGCAGTTTAGGAAGCAAACTGGAGAAAGAGAGGGAGGAGGAATTTTCAGTTGACGACCCCTCTTCGTCGTCGTCTAAGTCTAAGCGAGCTGCTGAACTAGCCAAGTTTTTGAAATTGGTGAAGCGTGGAAATTCCAAAATGTGCACAGACAAAATTAGATTATCAGATCAAGTTTCAACGCCATTGCCATCTCCGTTCGTGCAATCAATTAGCTCATCGAGAAAGCAATTGGATGAAAAACAGGGGAACCGAGTTGCTGCATTTGGAGCTGTATGTAAGCACGTTATGAAGAGCCGATCGACGACTTCCTCCTTTGCCGGAGTTTCATCGTCGCTGCCGGCGATGAATCGCAGAGATGATTCACTACTGGAGCAAAATGACGGAATCCAAGGTGCTATTCTTCACTGCAAGAGATCCTATAGCACTGCATCAAAAGGTAACTGCTGATTTTCACTTCTTATAATTAGCCTAACTGTACACATTCATTTGGTTGGCATAACTAAATTTTGTAGTATTAAATAAATTCTTAATTACGGGTGCAGATTGTTCGATGTTATGTACAACTGAAGATGTAGCACGAACCTCTTATTATGAAGAAGAGAGCAGATGGAGCATTTGAATAATCAAGAGTTGGAGGAGGCTTGTCCATTTCCTCTTTGTTCACTGTAAACTAAAAGTGAAAAATAGTAGTAAGAGTTTTAGTTAATCCAGGAAATTTAGAAGAGAGTTTACTTGTGTACAGTGATTATAGATCTTCAAATTTGCCTCTTAATTCTCTCAACACTCTTTCTTGCCTAGTGTATTGTATTTGATCATTCTGGTTTGCTATTTCATTTCCGAATAAGCTATGGAGCACACAGCTTCGTTCGTTCGTATTAGAATTACTATTTCATGCCTATAAACATAACCTAATAAAATAAGTTCCAAACTTCTATGTTCTAATAGTTTGACGAGTAAGCAAAGGTGGAACTGTTCCGATCCGTCTGCAAAAAAAATCATTTACAACTTGATATTGTCCTTCCTTAGCTGGTATGTTGGCCACTCGATTTTGCTTTATTTGGGGTTCGCAACTCCCTGCATTCATTAATTATATTCATGTATGCCGAGCTAGTGACCATTATACAAGTAGTCAATTACTGTTCTAACATCAGAATTTATCTCAAATTTAATTTTTTTTGCAAATCTCAAACCTTGTGTAGTAAGAGCATTATTACTGCATGTTTCTTGCAAAGAAAAGAGTCATTTACGAATGAGGGTAATAGGATCTTCACAAAATCAAAACGTCCTTTTTTTAAAAAAAAATGTTATGATTAGAGAAGATATACCAGTATGTATTATCTCATCAAATTTATTAAAGACATGGTATGTCGTCCATAGAAATTTAAAACATCATATACAAAATAAATTGTGAGCCTTATTTCTCAAGAGATTCCTTGTAAAAGAAACTCCAAAGCTTAACAACGTTACAAACGACGAAATTAAACAATATAGACTTGATCTAAAAACGAAAGACTATGTTTTAAATATCTTAACAAGTGACAATCACATTTTCCTCTGTCATTTCTACTATACTTTTTGTATCAAAGAAGATATCTATTTCGTTCATACAATTTTTTATCATGTTTTTCATAATTTCTATAATTACAAACGCTTTAACAATCATGGCGTTCCTAATAAAGGCCAAAGCAAAGTAGTATCCAAACATTGTACTAACGTTTAAGTAACAATCGTAAGCAAAGTGTGGACCCTCTAGAAAGGTGAATTAAGTAGAGTATCTTGCATTATGGATTATCATTTTCAAATAATTGAGCAGCAACCTCCGTACAAGACATGTAACTTAACATTTGGATTTTGTTGTAATAATAGTGGGGGTCAATTCATTTCATTAATTCTCTTGTTTTTCTCCAACAGACCTAATAATAGCCTGCAAAATTAATTACCATGTTCTTGTGGATTAGAGTGTGGGATTAATTTGCTTAGAAGTTTTTTATTCTTAAGCAAATTAATTAATTAGTAGCAGCATGCCATTTAAACTTCAATTAAAAAATTTAAGTTGCGTAAAGAGAGGCTGCAACAACATTAGTATCATTGCATTTTGATTAATGTATCGGCTTATGGTAAAGTCAATAATGCAAGGGTTTAAGCCTAAAGGCCCCAATGATGATCTCTCCAGTTTTTTCCAGTGCTATTTTATATAGTTAATATGTGTTCATTTAATTTTTAATGAACCAGATTAATTTTCTTGACCTAATATCTTTAATCATGGTTATTAGTAATTTTCTCTCCTCTCATTCCTTTCTCAATCAACAAAGAAACACTTCTTCCCCCTCCAAAACTCTCCGAAAAACAAAGCAATCAAACAATTGAAAATTAAAATTACATCAATATTTTAATGTTTTTACATTTACATATGAACAACTAGGGAGAGTCTCAAAAGAGAAAGACCGAAATGGAGTGATTAGCCCCAATTAAAGATTACAGTTATAAATACCACAAGAAAAGAAGACCCAAAAAATAAATCGAGAATTTCACCAGAAAAAAAAAGTATATGAAAAAATATTTTCCTACCCATTTTTCATGCCCTTTTCAGATCCTTTAGTTGGCTTTTGCAGAAACTCCAGATTGAAAAAATTGATGTTACGAAGAAGACGACAGAGTTTTGTGGATCACCATTGTGACCGAACCAAGCTTCAAAGAAGTAGTCTCATGGGTTGAATTTTTAAAATTTTATAACCCAAGTTCATCCTTTGAATTTTGTCTTCTTTTATCACGGTGTGAAAATAATGGAAAGAAAAAGCGATTTGTTGTTAACAAAGTAAATTCTTTGCTGATTGAGAAAAGGTTTGTTGCAGAATTAAGTGAGAAAAAAAGAGATGAGAGAGGAGAGAGAAAAAAATAGTAATAACCATGGTTAATGATATTTGACCAAAAAAATTAATCTGGTCTATTAAAAATTAAATGAACTAATGTCAACTATACAAGATAGCACTGGGAAACTGGAGAGATCATCAGTGGAGAGGAGCCTCATCCCATTAATTATTACGAATAATTATTTCATTTTCTTTATAAAAAAATATTGAATACTTTTATGTAAAAAAGTACGGAGTCTTTAAACAACAAAAAAGCAACTACTCTTATCTACCTAAGTGATGGTGACCCTTACATGTGAATGTATATACTATAGTTAGGTTAATTTACATCTTGAGATCATATTATTATTATTATATATAACCTAAATTACTCTTATTATTATTTTTCCCTTCTATTTGCAATTTACTCTCTTTTCTTTCTTTAGTTATAGCTTAGGTAATTTCTTTCTTTAACATTTCTTGCTGTCGCATAATTTGTTATGTTATAATAGCTAGTTATTTACATTTTTATGCTACCAATTTTTCCTGTTTAGCTTAGGGTAGTCTTGTGCAAAGAAAAATCTGAGAAGGAAATTGTATAAGGATAACGATGTATATTTTGTTTCTCTAGTTTATCACTTGGTGTTTGCTTGTTTGGATGCACTAATTTAGATTCATATTGCGTAGAAGTATCGACTTGATCCTTAATAGAATTTTTGCATAGGACTCGAACCACCAGTAACCTTTACTTAAAAGGACAGAAATGATAGTGTATACATGATTATTTTGCTTTAAATTTAGTTAACACTCTTAATATGGTCCTAAATTCTTGACCAATCAAAGGAATCAGTGTGTTGGGTCTACCCAGACTGAAAAGAGAATAAAAGAGTCACTCTCACAAAAAACGACATTACTTACCTCTATACCCCGTTTTTAAGAATATTTTATTTTTATATCTTTTTGCTTTTTTGGAAGTTAATCATCCTCACTCGTCACTATCCTCCCTCTGAGCTTCTCTGCCCCAAATTCCTTTCAATCCCTTCTACTCGCATTCGAGACGGATTCATCCGAACTCATTAGCTCTAAATTCTAATAAAACTTGTATATACGTCAAATTTCACTCAATATGCATAAATAATAAATTTCAAATATAGCAAATTAAATGAATTATGATAGAATTTTGAATTTGTACATATAAAATTTAAATTCAGACTACTTTTCTGTTTTAGCTTGTTTGGCCAAGCAACACAAATTACTATTTTATAAACTAATTAGGTAAATACGAATTACAACTCTCCAGAAACACTTCTCAAAATAAGCCGATTTCCTAAATTTGGCCAAACAATCTTTCGTTATATCCTCAGGGTTGCAATTCAATATGAGTTACGGTTCAGCCAAGTTCAATAATTTTGATTTGAATGTAGTATTTTATTTTAAGAACTTCATTGAATAAGTACAAATTAAGTAGCCCGATAACTAATTAAAAAACTAGAATCTCAAATATATATATAACCTTTAAATTCTAGCTTTGCATCTTTATATCATGATATTCCTATAGTTATTTTCAATTTAGATTATAAAAAGTTTTTTTTCAATCAAGTTGAACTCGACTAGTATTAAATAAGAAAGAGAGCATATGAGAAGATTTCATCATGGTCCTTTCACAAATGAAGCTAGCTAATTGATGATGAGACACTAATGAGCTAAGAAGATTTGCACAAAGTTTCATAAACACAATCACATTTAACACATCATAATGTTGATTGGTTTGACTAGTACGGTTACTAATAAAGAGTTAGTTAATGTTGTCATGATTTCGAATGTCCAAGCAAAATGCTGCATTGGACCCCCTTAAGTTAATAGGTTGTATATATGTGGCTTAACCAAACGGCCCCTTAAGTTAATAGGTTGTATATATGTGGCTTATATTTTTTTAATAAGTGATCAAGCTTAAACTGACATGCAAGACAGTTAACTAAACTTGCGGAGTTCACTTGCTCCAATAGTGGGGAGCCATTTATTCTCTCTCTCTCTCTCTATATATATATATATATCATTATTCTGTTTTAAGTTTTAACTAGACACATATATATATATATATCATTATTCTGTTTTAAGTTTTAACTAGACACATCCTATAAAATTACAAATACTTTTGTGGATTAGGTTAACATAGTAGCATCATAGATTAATATTTTTTCCCAATTGGGGGTAGGAGAAAAGAAAAAACTAGAAGGAAACGGAGGAGATCACAAGGTGGAAAAATTGAATCTTCATCAAGGAAATTTACGTGGACAATCAATTGAACTAATAAAATTATCCTAGCAGCATATAGTTAAGAGTATTTTTTTTTTGGAAATATTACCTAAATACACAAGTTATTTTACCATATTCTCTAAAATTGTCTACCATTTAAAAAAATTACAAAAATCATTAATCTCTCATATTCACGGATACATCACTTAACGCGATGCATCAGTCGGATACATCACTTAATGTGATGCATCAGTCGGATACATCACTTTACGTGATGTATCGGTCGGATATCATTTTACGCGATGTATCGGAACATACGGGATGTATCGGGACGTTGAATGATGTGTATGAAATCGAGATGTGATATATTGAGACGTTGATGGATGTATCCGAAATCGGGACGTGATGTATCGAGACATTTTGGGATATATCCGAATTCCACTCAATTTAAAGGATTTTTGTAATTTAAAAAAGAATAGGAATAATTAGTTCTTAACACTATAAGATTTGTGTA